TAATAGATAATAATAATAATAATAATAATAATAATAATAATAATAATAATAATAATAAAATAATAAAAATAAAAAATAATTTTATTATTATTTTTATATTTTATTTATTTTATTTGAATATTTTTATTTATATATATATATATATATATATGTATTATATATTTTTATTTGCTTTTATAAATTTTTAATTAATATTTAATTTTATTTAATATATAAATTATTATATTTTTTATTATTCAATAAATATCTATTTATATTTATTTTATTATATAATATAATATTTATTATTAATAAATTAAATATATTTTTCTTTCAAGATATTTTAAATTTTGTTACTTATTTTTCATTTTTTTAATAATTTTTCAATTTAAATATTTTTCATTTTTTTATATATATATTTAATTATAAATATAATTTTTTTTTTTTTTTTTTTTTTAATTATTAATTATAATTAATATTAAATATGCTAAAATTATATTATTTTTTATTTATTCTAAATTTTCTTTTATTTAATTCATACAAATACAATAAAATATTAATACTAATAATTTCTTAGCTCTAATTAAAATATGTATATATTATATATTTTATATATAGTATTTTTTTATATAGATAATTTGATAATATTTTTTATAATTATAATTTTAGAAATTTGATTAATCTAAATAAACAAATTTTTTTAAAATTTTTGTTTTTTTTATCATTGTATTTTTGTTAAAACTATATTAATTTTTTTAATAATAAATATATATATTTAATAAATTTAATTTGTTAAAATTAAATACAAACATAACTTTTACAAAACCATAAATATACAATTTCAAATATTATTTATTTTTAATATTAATAATATTTTATAACAATGAAACATAGATTTTTCGATAAAATTATTTTTATATTGAATTAGAAAATATTTTTTTTTTATCAATTTTAATTGAGTATTAAATATAAATTAAAAATTCTAAAAGTTATTAATATAATTTAAATTAAAATCCAAAAAAATATTTAAAAAGAAGACAAGTTTGAATTTTAATGTATTTTCTTAAAAAACATTTTCACAATTAAAAAAAAGAAATAAAAATAATATATATTTATAATAAATATAATTTATTAATTTAATTTAAAAAAAACAAAAAAATTAAATATATAATAAAATAGATTTAACCCCTACAAAAATAATAAATATATAAAATTAAAATAAAATAAAATAAAATGAGCGATAACCATAAGCTAAATGAAAATTGGTGTTTTTGGTATTGTCCAAGAGTAGGAAACAAGAATTATAATAATGAGAATTATTAAAAAATTTAAAATTATTAGCCGAAATAGAGACAGTTGAAGATTTTTTTATAAATTATTGTCATTTAAAAAGACCTACAAATATAGAATGTGATAATAAATTAATGCTTTTTAGAAAAGGTTGTACACCTTTATGGGAAGTAATATTATTTATTTTTAAAAAATATATAAATAAATAAAATTATATGTAAAGGAATGGAAGGGAGGTGGTTGCTGGATATTATTAGTATAAGGAGAAATGTATAAAAAGTTAAATATTATATGGGAGGATTTATTAGTAAAAAAATATAATATATATTTATTAAAAAAAATTATTAAAAATATTAAATATAGTTAGGTTGTGTAGGTGAATAATTTAAGGATTCAAATATAATTGGAATTGTACTATCAATAAGAAAAAATAAAAAAGCAGTAATAGAAATGTGGATGAGAGATAGAGATGAAAGCAAGAAAATAAGAGCAGGAGAAGAATTAAGAAACTTACTAGAATTAGAACCGAAGAATCTAATTTTTTATTATAAAGATCATTAATTATCCCTTATAGAAGGTTCTACCATGAAAGGTTCAAAATCATATAAATTTATAGGTACTCCGGTACCTACACCTATTATTCCTGAAATTATTGGACTAGAAAACGCTACTGAATAAGAAATAAAGAAAGTATAAGAAGAAGATTTTGAAATATGAATAAAAAAAAATATATATATTTAAATATATAAGTATATAAATATATAAATATATAAAGATATAAATATATATATATATATATATATATATATATTTATATTTTTTTTTATATTTACATTTATATGTTTTTTTTTATAAAATATTAATGTTTTGTTTTTATAATAATATTTTAAAATTATTAAAAAAGATTTTTTTTTTCATATATATTTTTGATATTTACTATATTATACATAAAAATGGATAATTTTAATAAATATTAATTATATTAATAATTATAAAACTTTTAACTTTATGAATTTTAAATGTTAAAAATATTAGCAAGAGCACTTTAAAAAAGTGAATTTAAAGTTGAGCAACTTTCTAAAATTTTAGACGAGAAATAAAAAGAAATTCATAGTTATGAAATTAAGGTTTATGAATCAAAGAATTAGTCTAAAATATATGAAGAAAATAATAAGACTTTTAGATTAAATGATGACGAAATAGATAATATTAAATAAAATTTAGAATTTAAAAATTCATAAATTCAAAGTTTAGAAATTAGCGTTAATCAAAATTTTACAAAAATAAATTTTTTGGAAAATGAAAAAGATGCTTTAGAATAAAGTATTTTGTAATTTTAAAAAAATGAATTTAATTTTTAATAAAAAATTCTCGCTTTGAAATAAGAAATAAATAATTTGTATTTAGAAAAATAAGAACTTTAAAAAGAAGACGAAATTTCGAAATCTTAATTAAATTAATAATAAAAATAAGAAGAAATTATTCCTTAAAAATAAGAAGAAATTCCTTAAAAATAAGAAGAAATTCCTTAAATATAAGAAGAATTTCCTTAAAAATAAGAATAAGTGATTCCTTAAAATTAAGAAGAAAAAATTCCTTAAAATTAAGAAGAAATTCTTTAAAACTAATAAGAAATTCATTAAAACTAAGATGAAATTATAAAACAATATGAGAATTTTTATTAGGAAACCCTAAAAATATATGAAAAATATATAAATGAGTGCTAAAAATTAAAGGAAAATTATAAAAAATAAGAAAACATTGTTAAATAAAGCAAATAAGAAATTAATTAAAAACTAAATCAAATAATTAATACTAAATAGATCTAAAAATAAATAAATTATCCTTTAAAATACATAATAATGGAAATTTTAATAATTGTTATAATTGCAATATTAATATATATATTATTATGAAAAAAAAAAAAAAAAAAATTAAATTTTCATTATTTATATTCTTCCAAATATGTTCCTTACCCTTTCAAAATAAAATAAACATCATCACCATTTTCAATACAAATTTTAAATTTAGATTTATAAATAACATTTTTTTTAGGTTAAAAACATACAAAAACATCTTATGGGGAAATTCCTTCTTATATATTTCTTTTTTGTGTGTTTTCGGAAGGTAAAGCTAAACAATTTGGCCATTTTTTTATTGGGACGGATGGCCCATTTAAGAATCCTTCATTTTTAGAAAATGAAAAAACTTCTAAATCATCTATTGTGTTATTATTTTCATAGTCCTCCTGTGTCATTGTGTCCAATATTTATTTATATTTTCTAAAAGGATTTTTAACATGACATATTTTCCAAGAAGCTGGCACTTTGGACTAATTGGCGATGAAAAATCGCAATTTTTTAGTATCTTTGATATGGGTTATTCCAAAATCTTGTAAATTATCAGCTTAGACATTTTCGAATTCAGCAAAATTAACTTCTATCTAAGGTTTGAGGATTTTACCTTATAAACGTATTTCCTGTGTATCTCCATTTTCGAATAAAATTATCAATTTTCCTTCTTGAAAATATATCTAATTTGATGGAGAAAATTTAATTAAAAGCGAAAAATGCGAATTTTTTTCAAGCCAAAAGGCAGTTTTTAAACTTTCTAAAGGAAGCTCTTTTTTAGAAGTTTTTAAAAGCGAATTTTAAAAAAGGAAATTTTTTTGAGAATTGGATTCAATTTTTTCAATCAGAAAAGGGCCTTCAGTTTATACTTCGAATTTTAAATTTTCGAAGTTTTCGTTTATTAAAGTAAGTGTTTTTTTCTCGTTTTTATTTTCAATAGAGTTGTTGTTTTTTTAGAATTTTAGAGGCTTTCCCTCTGGAATTTTGTCTATTTTTAAATATGATTAGGCTGTAGTAGCACTAATATATAAAGTTAAATCCTCTATATCTTCTGCTTGGATATTTAATTCAGGTTTTCCAATTAATACAGAGTTGAAAGTACTAGAATTAGATGCAAAAAAGGAAACTGAGAATTTCTTTTCTTCTCTTCCGTTTATTGTTTATTCTTTTGGAAATATTTCAAAAGGACCATTTTCAACTGTAGGTGGCGGAATAGACTAAAAATGAAGTTTAGAAATAAAAGGAAATCCTTAAGGCGGATTTTGGAAAGAAATATTAAAAAATTTTTCAGAACAATTATTGTCTAAATTATATATTTACCATTTAATTTTAATAGGCTTAGGTCCTGTGTTCAAGACTTTAAAAAAACGAGTTATTTTGGGACTGTTTTAGGAAAAATGCCCTAAGAAAAAAAAAGGGATTTACTATTCGTAATCTATTCCTAATTAATAAGGAGAAATTATAATCGGAGACCCTATTACTTATATATTTATTGGAACTTTCATAAGAGGTAAACCTTAAATATTTATATTTAAAGTGTCTTATTAAATTCCTGATATATCGTTAAATAATGTTACTTTTATTAAAGAAGTATCATACGAAGATAGCTTTGCTTTAGAAGGTTCACATAAAATTGCAAATCCTTTGTTGTTTTAGAGATATATTTGTTGTTTTTTTTCAAGCGTTTTTTAAGTGTTTAATTCTTGTCCTTATTTAGAATTAAAATTTTAGGTTTTTTCTATTTCGTCTGTTAACAGGTTGGTTTTTGTATTTGTTTAACTTTATTCTGTTTCTAAGTTTTTTTTTTAAAAGGGTTAGAATTTTTCAATAGAAAGTTCAAAACTGGTAGAAATACCGCTTTTATTTTCCAAAACAATAAAAATATGCTTAGGTTAATTTATTATACAATTGAAAAAATCTATCTTTTCACAACTAATCTTCTTTTATAAATGTATATTAAATTATTTATTTTAGGTTCCTTTACTGTCTTAGGCCTTGAATATATCGGAAGTTCGCATAGAATTACACAAGAAACTATTTTTGACGTTACTTTTCATCACGAGACTATTAAAAAGGTTCTCATTGTTATCTAAATAGTTTTTTTTTTATTCATTTTCTCCTAATTTTTCGTCTGAAATTATTTTTTTGAGTTCAACATTTAATCCGAATACTTCTCCTTTAAAAAAAATTCCCAAAAATTCTTTTTTTTCTTTAATTTTGCAAAGAAGAAGTTCTTCGAAAACTCCTCCTTTTTTGCCCAAAACTATTATTTTCATTTTTATTTTTTCTTTGGCTTTTATTTCGCCTTGTTTTGGTTCACAAATGACTTCCAAAAGTTCAGTTTGGATGTTTTCCCAGGTAAAAAAGGCATCTATATTTCCCTAATTTTCTAAGTAGATTTCTTTATCAATTTCTATTTTTTTATTAGCATATAAACAAGGCAAATTTATGTCCAAATTGTTTAATGCTATTTAAATATCCTATATTTCAGCTTCTACATTTACATATATACTATCCTTTTTTTCAGATATCACTTCCAGGCAGCTACTAAAGCTTTCAGATTTACCTGCTTCAAGTTCTATTTGGACAAAAAAGGAACTCTTAGGAGGTATTTTTATTTGAGGTTAGGAAATACGTAATATAGCGGTATTTTTTTATGAAGAAATGTCTTCTTATATTTCTTCTTGAATGAAAAAATCTTTAAATTTTCTCAGTTTATCTAAGGAAGGGTAAAAAGTGGTATTTTAGATGACTTTTTCATTAGTATTTTTAATTAAAACTTCTTAATAATCTTAAGAATCGTTATAAATTTCTAATTATTTTTATTTTTTTTCCCAAATATTCATAAGACCAAAATCCAGAAGAGAGTTTTTAACAGAAACTGAATTTCTTTAAAAATCTGATAAAATTTCAAAAGTTTACAAAAAAGTGTTTTCGCTTGAAATTTTAAAAATAATTTTTTTATTTTTCCCTTCTTTTTTTGAACCGAAAAAAATGGAAATTTCCTCTTCGTTTTTTTCATAGATTTTTAAAAAAATCTAATTTGTTTCCCAAAACATGCCTTCCGTTTTGAATTCTTCTTCGATTTTTAATTAAATTGGAGCTTTTGAATTTTTTCTTATCTTAACCTTTACTTCATATTTTTTATTAATTTCCAGTTCTTCCCCAAAAACATGGAAAGGCTTGTCTAAAAAAATCTCTGAAAATCCACAAATACCTACTACTTCTAAATCTATAAATGGAATAGAGGGAATGTTAGAATTAGAGCCTAAAAAAGGAGGATTAAAGTCGCTTTTTTTCCTTAAAAAACCCAATAAATTTTACTTTATTCCTTTTATGCTTTCAAAAGGAACTTCGTCTATAAAAAATACAGTGTTTTCGAATACTGGATATGGATTTTTACTCAAAAATTCGAATGAGAATTCTTTTATTTCCATAGGAGAGAAAAATCCTTTTTAAGGAAAAATTTCAAAACATGAATTTTTTCCTTCTAAAAAATCATCGTTTTATTAAAAAAATGAATTTTTTTTACTATTTTAAATTTAAATGGAGTTATTTTCTATAATTCTTTCATTTTAAATTGAGTTTTTATTATTTTTTTTTATATTAAATGCGCTTTAGAGATTTTTAACGTTTTTTTCTTATTTTTAAGGGAATATGTTCCAATGAAAATTCACAAAGACATCACTTTGGTTTTAAATTTGTATTTTTCTTTAAATTTTTATATTGCAATCAGCTTTTTCAAAGAAAATTTTCTATAAACTTTCTTAGTTTTCCAAAATTTTATTGTCGTCAATTGCTAAAACCTTCAAAAAACACATATTTCCGTTTCCTATTAGTTTATATTTAGCTTAAATATCCGAATCACATACTAAAATGATGTTTTTTTCTTCTAATCCTTCCTTTTGAGGTTTGAAGTATATATTAATATCAATACTTTCACCTTTCTAGAGGTAAAATTCGCATGGGTAAATTTAAAAATTACCAATTTTTAATTTTAGATCTTCCTCTTCTTCATCTTTTTCATCTTCCGAAAAAAAACGGAAACCAGCGTCTCCACCTTTATTTGTTATTTTGTAATTTTGTTAAGAAATTTCACCCACCCAGCAACTTTTGACTTCTAAAACCGGAGGTAAATTTAATAGTGGAGGCGCTCTTCTTGCAATTAAGGGAATTTCAAAAACATTGAGTTCGGTAAGGATAACTAATTTATCAATACATTCCTTAAAACATGTCGATTGGAATTATATTTCAAATATTATAGACATTCCAGGAGCTATTAAAGACTACTCATTATTTTCAAGTGGATATTTTACGTTTTTTATAGAAAATTAAGGCCTTTTTTAATATTTTATAAAAATATATGTATTTATATTTTTTTTACAATTATGGTGGTAAATATTTAATTCTTCTAGAAAGTTTATCTATATTTGTAATAGTAAAATTAATTTAATATATATTGTTAATTTCATAGTCATGGAATATTATTTATTATGGATTTGCTATAAAAATGCATTCTTTGGAATTCTATTCAACTAAAATTTGAGAAAGATTTGTGTTTAAGTCTTCATATTTTATCGGAGGACGGTTTATGCGAAAACGAGGATTTCGTAAAAATGTTATTTTTTAATTCATACTGCGAATTATCTTATCGTTTTTCAATTTTTCTTCAAATGATAATTCGGGATAATGTTTGAGACGTTATGTCGACATTATTTTATATTTTAATTTATATTTTTTTTATATAATTTTTTTTTATGTTTGTTTTTTTTTTTTAAAATAAAATAAAGTTAAATAATGAATTTATTTATTTATTTGAGTTTTTTATTAAAAATATATATAATTTTTAACTTAATTATTTATTTATTATATAAATAAAGAAATATTTTATTTATTTATGATATTTATAATAAAAATAAACTTTAAGTTTAATATCTTGTTTTTTTATTTTATTTTATTTTCTTTTATTAAATTATAAGTTTAATTAAAAATTTAATTATAACATAAAAATAATAATTTAGATAATACAAAATATTAAATTAAAAAAAATTCTAATAATTATTTTTATAAACTAAAGTCTTATTAATATTATGAAATTTTGCAATCATATGAATTTTTTAAAAAAGTAAAAATAATTAAATATTATTATCATTTCTTTATATGGTAATAATAAATAAAGTTTTTTTTGAATCAAAAATAAAAAGAATAATACATATTCTGAACAATATTTATTTTAGTTAAATTTATTCTAATATATTTAGTTAAATTTATTCTAATAAATTTTATTTTAAAATCTTATAATTATTTTATTATAATTTATATTATTTTATATAATTATATTATCATATTATATAAAATATATTTTAAATAACTTTATTACTAAAGTTTGAAAAATATTTTAACATTTCATATTTTTCTTTAAAATTTTCATAATAAGATTTTAATAAAAAATAAAAAAATCTTTTATATATATTAACATTATATAATTAAAACCAATAAGAATAGTATAAAATATAAATTTAAAAATAATAAAAATAAAATATCTGTTTTTTGTCTTAATAGTATTTTTAATGATTTAATACTAATTCTTTAAAAAAATTAGCCATTTTTACATAAAGTTAATTCAGCTTTCATTTAAAAGCTATATCTTCTTAATATGTTTAATTTTAACTATTTATTTTGCATTGAAAAAAGTTCAACTTTATTAATTCATAATCAATCCAACAAGTACATTTTTTTCAAAATCATAGTTAAATATTTTCCATAATTTATTAATTTAATTTTATAGATTACTTTTATAGTCTTCATCAGTAATACTAATTTATTCAATAGCTATAATCCATTTATTAGTTTACAGATTTTTTTCTTTTCAGCAAATTCAACTGGATTTTCATCAGAGTTTTTAGTGTAGTGGCTTTATAACCTTAATAATTAATCTGAATGAATGTATTCGATATTTTTTTAAGCAATAATTAAAATCATTATTTTCTAAGAGTTTGATAATAAAATATAAACCTCATAAACCGAGAATTTAGATAATTTACTATGTTTTAAATTAGATGGAGATCAACCCTGTTTTCAGGCAACTTAGTTTAGGAAAATTACAAGAAATTTTAATAATAAAATTATTAATTGACTTTTTTAAGATAGATTATTCTTTACCAATGAATGTAGTTGAATTGAGCTTCCCTAAATAAGCTATATAAGTAAAAGAATTTCAATTATAAACTCTTGTTTTGGCTTCATTTAATTTGATTAATTTTAAACTCTTTTGTTAAAGGAGTTTAATAATTATTGTATAGGATCCTTAAATGCATTAAAAAAATAAAAAGGAAAAGATAAATTTTTTTTTGTTAAAACACAAATAAAACCACATAAAAAATTAATATTTTAATACAAAAAAAAAAATATAATTATAAAAAATTAATGAATCAAATTCTACAAACATATGAAGATGATTAAGTTATGAATCTTACCCACCTAAAAGGATTAGTTTTTTCCTTTTCTTCAATTCTTAAATATTTAATTTATAAATTAGACACATTGTACATCGGAATATCAAAAACGACATTCACAGGTCCTATTTCTTTTCTTGCCATATATGCATTTGCATTACTTTGAAGTGTGATTTTCGAAATAAGACTTTATTCTGTGTCTCCTTTGAATTTTTTAATATTCCATTTTACGATTTTGGTTCCGTTTTTGTTTTCAATATCAATATTTTAGTTTACTTAATTTTTTCCAAGCTCGTTTGTTATATTAGATGCTTATTTAGGCATTGGGAAACTCAAATTAACATAAGTTGCAGTCACTTCTTTTGGAAAGCAAGCTTTAATCCTTAAATGTAGTTCAAGTCTATAATTTGAAACTTCTTCAATAATTGGATAAATTTTAAAAGGTGGTTAAAACTCACTTGTTATTCTATAATTCATTGCAATAAATTCACCATCTGGAGGCTATATTCTTAATGTTCTGTTAATATCGAATTCCGATGTATTTACACTTTCATGAAAATTGCAATCATCTAATACTACTTTTCCTATTTTTCCTCTTCCAATCTTATTTTTTTTTTAAATATATTATATTAAAGAAATTAATATTTTTTATTTATTTAATATTAATAAATACAATTAAATCTTCGTTTAAAGCTAATTTTAAAGCTGGATTTCCTTATAAATAGGATTTCATTTAAATGCAACCTTCGATTGAAGAATTAATAACATAACCAGAAACGTTAAAAAGAACACTGATTTTTTCAAAGACATCTACAAATATTTCATTTTTCTTTTTGTCTTAAGATACAGGTGCTTTAGTTGCATTAGAATTTATTGTTTAGGATTTAAAAATAGTTCCAAAAGTACTGTTTATTGAAGGTACCATTTCTTTTTTTATTACTACAGGTTCATTTGCAATTAAAGGTTTTACTTGTTCAGTTGAGAGAAGCTAGGGATAACCGAAGTCTGTGATTTCATCTAATAATTCATATATTAAAACAAAATTCTTTCTTATTGCCTCTTCACTAAATAATCCACAAAAATCTTTTATTATTACACATACTCGATTTAGGATTTCTAATAAAATAGAAGGACAGTTGTCAAATCTGGAAGTGGCTACTATGTATAAACCTGAACGTTTTATATAACTAAAATTTATGCCATCTATGTTAAATAATGGTTCACAATCTCCTTTCGATAATTTTACGTGTCTGTAAAATTGCTCATGGGTTGTTTTGATGAGATCAGAACGGAAATCTCTGTTTATTATTATATCACCTCTTGCTGAAAGAATGAATAGTTGAGATATCATATTTTTTTATATTTTTTTTTAATATATATATCTTTTTTTTATTTTATATTATCTATTTAAATGTATTTTTATATAAATTTTTTTCTTTGTTTATAATTTTAAAAAATGTTTGAGTATTATTTTTTTTTAAACAATTTCTATTTTTACTTTTTAAAAATAAAATGAAAAATTTTATTTGAACTTTCAAATTTTTTTCTTTTGCAAAAAGAAAAAATATTATCAATATATTTTATAAAATATATTATATATACATTTAAAAAAAATCATATTGTTTTTTAAATAATAAATTAATACAATATTTTTATAATTTATGTTTTTAAATTAAAATATATCAACACATTATATAATAAAAAATTAAATTCAATTAATTTTCGATATATTCTGATTATTTTTATTGTTTTTTATTTTATTTTAATAAAAAACAAGTTTATAATTAAAATAAGATTAATTTTAATAATAATTGAATTTTTAAAAATAAAATTAAATTTATAAAAACTATATATTTTGCAATTATATATTAAAAAAAAATAAGAATTTATTGTCAAAAAATTAATAATTAAATATATTGATTTATTTAATTTTGTAAAAATTAAATTAATTTTCTTTATATGATATTTTTTATTAGTTTAAATATAAAAAGAAAATTTATTTTTAAACTATTAAATTTATAATAATATTTTAATATAAAAATATTTAATTAAAATAAATATGTAATTAAATTTTATTTTATTCAAATTATTAATTAAAGTAATAAAATAATTAGTAAAATTCAATTAATTTATTAAGAAAATAAATATATTTAATATTAATTTATTATAATTATTTATTTAGTTAATTATTTTAATATATAAATAATTGAAAAATATAATAAAATTAAATATTTTATTTTGTAAACTTGCATAATTAATTTATAAAAATTATATAATAAAAAATATATATATATTATATTTATTTTTAATAATTTTTTTTTTTTTAAATAAAATAATATCATTTTTTAGCTTATATAGTAAAAATAGAATCGAATTTATTTATAAAATATAATTTAAAATTACCATATCACAAGAAAATTTCATTAAAATAATATTATTTTATTTAAATATAAAATTATAAAGCTAAAGATTAACTAATGCAATATAGTAAATAAATTTTGATATTAATTATATAAAATAAAAAATAATATATCTTTATAGAAAAATAAATAAATTAATATAAATTCTAAATATAAAAAATTAAATAATTAAAATAAATTTAATTTAAAATATTAAGAATACAAAATATTTTAAATTCTCTCCTTGTTTTCTCAAGACAAAAGACTTGCTTCATACTTATATAAGGTGAATGCTCTTAGAATAAAGAAGATAAACATAACGTAAATTTATGAGATTTGAAAAAAGAAAAAAATTTAGATGATATTGTGGAAATCTATTATTTTTGTACAAAACTATTTAAGTACTTGTTAATCAAGACAGGTAATTTAAAACTTTATAATATGGATGTACTTCATTTTTAGATAGAAATCTTATTTCATATTATAATGGTGGGTGGAATATGAAGATAAACCTAAGAGAAAATTTTCTTCTAAGAAAGTGACACAGATACATTTTGTACAAAATTATAGGATTCAGTTTGTGTTTTTTAAAAATTAGGAAAATGAATTAATTATATTAAAGAGTCTATATGAATTCATTTAAATAATGAATGTATAGAATATACTGATACAAAAGAAAAAAAAAAATATTTTATATTATTATAATCTTTAATATTATATAAAAAATTAATTATATAAAATAATTATTAAAAAAAATGTTATTAATTTTTTTTTTTTTTTTTTTATATATATATTTATTGAAATAACTAAAAAAAAATGTTAAATAAATTAATAAGGCATAGTTTTTCCATTAAAAATATAATAACTTCTAAAATAAAAAGTTAACTAAATCCGGTACATTTTTAAATTGAAAATGAGTCTCATAAGCATAGTGTACCGAAAAATTCAGAAACACATTTCAAATTAGTAATTGTTTCTGATTAATTTTAGGGAATTTCAATGATAGGTTAACATTAAAAAGTATATTAAATTCTTTAAGATGAATTCAAATAAGGACTTCATGCACTTTCAATGACTACAAAAACACCAGAGTAATGGAAATAAGATAATTTTGTATCTGAATCTCCAAATTGTATGGGAGGATAAAAGAAGGATAGATTAAAAAATTAATAATGAAGTATAATAAATTAATTACATATTTATATATTTACTTTTTTTTAAATTAAAAAAAATATTTTATATTTATAAGTATAAAAATTATGTAAATATTTAACTAAAAAATATTTTCAAAGCAAAATTTAAAAATTATAAATATTATTAATTAAAAAATATTTTTAAATAGTAAATTTATATATAATATAAAAAAATAAAAAAAGAAAAAAAATTATTAAAAATAAAAAAAAATGTAAAAATATTTAAAAAGTAAATAATTAATTTAATATATTTATATTAATTATTTTAATATAAAAAATTACAAAACAAAATAAAAATAAAAAATATGTAAATAAATATTTATTTATATATATTAATATATTAATATAAATAAAATTATATAATTTTTATATTTTAATATATAAATATATATTATTTATATATCTATTTTTTTTTAAAAAAATATTTATTTTTTTTATATTTTAAATATAAACCTAATTTTAATTTTATTTATAATATATAATTGTTATATTTAAAATATTTATACAAAGTTACTCTTTTTATTAATAACAAATTTATAATTTGTTTTAGAATTTTATAAATCTATCTTAGAAAAATAAATATACATACAATTTTTTTTTTGAATATATAAAAAAAATTTATACATGATTAAATATATTTTTTTTTATTTTAATTTATTTTTTTATAATTTTTTTTTATTAAATTAAATAATGTATTTAGAAATTAATAAAATAATCATAAAAATTTATAAATATTAATATATTTATTTATAATAAATATAATTATATAAATAAAAATAAGATCAAAACATAGATAGAATAATAAAAGAAAAAAATTAAAATAAAATAAAAACAAAATTTATATATATACAAATAAAAAAATATACATATATAAACATATAAAAAATGTAACCATAATAATTCCATATAAATAATCTTTCACCTGCTAATTTAAAAACAAACGAGCAAGCACTTTCTGGTTATGTGTATTGTTCACGAGAAGTTTACGATTTATTTTTGAAAAATAATACTTTTGTAAAACCAATATACGTGGAAATAAACTCATATGTATTCACATTGGCCTAATCGAATGATTTTTCATAAAATTAAATAGGTTTAAATAGAATGGCAAGATAAGTACTAAAAATAGGTTTAACTGATAGCATAAGTAAATTATTAAATAAAAATTAAATAATAAATATATATAAAAAATAGCTATTGGTCTTTATACAATTCCAAAAGATTCTGAGTTTCATTTAATTAATATATAATTAGAACTCGATTTAGTATAAAAAGTCCAAAACAGTTTAGAAATTGATGACGAGAAATTAGAAATAACTTTCCGCAAATAATTTTCTGGATAATTTTTTAAAAATGGATAAATAGTTCTCACAGATTATGAAGGAATAATTCTTTAATGTAAATGCAATTCAATATCATTTATGGATTTAGGTGTAAAAACAAAAATAAAGCAACTATAATAAGGAACAATAAATGATGAAACACGTATTTAATTTTTAGTAAAATAATAATAATATATGAAATTAAAGTCAGTAGGAAATAAAGCGAGAGTAATAAAATAAAAAAAAAATTTAAAATAAAAATTATTTATAATAATAATCAGTCAATTATAGATTCGAATTTTAAATTTGAAGATTTAGGAATAGGTGGTTTAGATGAAGAACTTGCAAATATATTCAGAAGAGCATTTGCCTCTAGACGTTTTCCTCCTTCAACTTTAAAAAAATATGGTATAAAACATGCAAAAGGTGTACTTTTGTTTGGACCTCCGGGTTGTGGTAAAACCTTAATAGCTCGTTAATTAGCAAATGTATTGAATTCTGTAAAGCCTAAGATCGTAAATGGACCTTCTATTCTAAGTCAATATGTAGGAAAAGCAGAAGAAAATATAAGAGAATTATTCGCAGATGCACGCAAAGATGAAATTGAAAAAGGTGATTAAAGTCCTTTACACGTAATTATATTTGATGAAATGGATGCTATATGCAGGAAGAGAGGTTCCACAAGTTCCACATCGGGAGAAGTAGGTGATAAAATTGTGAATTAATTATTAACAATGATAGATGGGGCGGAAAGTCTTAATAATATATTGGTTATAGGTATGACTAATATGAAGGAACTAATCGATAAAGCAATTTTGAGATCAGGGAGGTTCGAAATTCATATAGAAATCGGGTTGCCAAATGAATAGGGAAGATATGATATATTCAAAATACACACAGCGAATATGTATAAGAATAATGTAATTGACAAATCTGTAGATTTACACGATCTTGTTTCTTAAACAAAAAATTATACAGGAGCAGAAATTGAATAAGTAGTCAAAGATGCTACTTCATTCGCTTTTAATAGAGTGCATGATATTATGGATTTTTCTAAAGACAATTTAAATGCGGAAGTTATTGTTAGTATAGATGATTTTAAGAAAGCTTTGGAAGAAATAAAACCTGACTTTGGAATTGATTTAGATTAATTTTAAATTTATACACGTTAAAAATTGATTGATTATGGAAGTTCTTATTAGAAAATTTATAAAAAACTAATGAGCTCAGTATAATATATTAAGCATTCGAAAAATACATAAATTCATTCGATTTTACTAGATGGGTTGACTGGAAGTGGGAAAACTTCTATAGCAGCTCATGTGGGTATTAGCTCGGATTTAACTTATATAAAAATCATTTCTCCGGGAGATTTTGTAGGCATGAGCGAGTTTGCGAAAATAAATAGCTTAGTAACTATCTTTAATATGGCTTATAGGTCAAAATAAGCATGTATTATACTAGATGAATTGGAAAGATTAATTGAATATGTGGATATAGGACCTAGATTTTCAAATAGCATTTTATAAGCACTTTTAGTTTTGATTAAAAAAATTCCGGAAAAAGAATAATGTAAGTTACTTGTTATAGCTACTTCTTCGTAAGCAGATCTTTTAAAAAATTTAGAACTTACTTAATGCTTTAATATGGTTGTTAATATTCCACTTTTGGATAGTTTAGAAGTAGGTAATGTTCTTGAATAATTTGGAATTAATAGAAATATGGCAGTTGGAGTTGAAAGAATTGGAATTAAAAAATTACTTATGATTATTGATATGGTCATAACTGAACATAAAAATCCGACATAAATAAATTTCGCAGAAGCTTTTGATTTAATCTCTTGATAATAATATAAAAATATTTATATATATAATAAAATATTATATATATATATATATATATTTATATATAAAATTTATATTTACATATATTATTTTACATATATATATATATTATTGAAAATTATATTTTTTTTTTTTATTTAAAACAAATTGAATTTTTCTTTTATTTTTTGTTATTTGTATTTAAAAGTATTTTTTTTTAAATAAATTTTTTAAGAATTAATAATAAATGTATGTAAATTCTAATGAAGATTAAATACAAAGTACAATTAAAAATATAAAATCTATGATAAGGCCTTATCCAAGATGTAAGAATTGTCCTTTATCAAAAGATATGAGTTTAATGTATTAAATATAAAAACAAATTTAAATATTAATTATTTTATTTTATTTAGATGTTTAAATGAAGAATGTTAGAATTAATATTTTTAAATAATATGTCCATATTGCCATAGATATAAACATTAAATGAAGAACTTATTAGTCGAAGATGATTTAGATTTAGTATTATAATTAATTGAACAATCAACATTAGAAAGATTGAAAACAAAACAAGTATGCGAAGAAGACGTAGATTATGTTAAATAAATGCTAGATTGTTAGACTGCTTTAAACAATTTATTAAATAAAGTTTCTCAAATAAAGTTTATTGTGGATGATGTTTTAGATAGTTATAAATCAAGAATGAGAAATTTCGAAGAAGTAATTAGATGTTGTGGAGACGCAATGAAATCTTCAAGTTAATAAATAATAAACTAATAATTACAAATGATAAAGAGTAATGTAATATACATTCCTTTAAATAATGGTGATTTTTAATTAAAATGGGTTTTCGAAGAAGATAGAAATTCAAAAGAAAATTAAGTTAAATAAGAATTTTATAAAAATTGCAATGTTTTAATAAATTAAGCTGTTAGATCTATTGATAATTTAGTATTTATTTATATAAATTTATTTCTTCTTTTTAATTATACTATTTTTTGATATCTTTTAGTTTAAAAATTTCAGTAGCTATACTTATCCAGTTTTGGAAAGAAAGAAATTTTAATATTAATTGTTAGAAAATCTTAATGAAAAATTGGTTTAACTTAATATTAATTGGAAGGTTTTCATTTATTTTATATTTTATATTTATTATTTATATCTATATAATTTAGTGGAAAAAATATGTAAAGATTTATTATAATTTTTATTAGCTTTTCAATGATTCTTTTTAATAATATATATATATATATATATATATATATATATGTATATTTATATATTGCGACTAATATAATTTTAAGCACGATATTGTAATATTAATATATATATATATATATAAATGTATTTTATTTTAAAATAGGAAATTGTATGATTTATTTGATTATTATATTATTTTTTAATAAAATTTTCTTTTAGAGGGTAATTTATAATTTTTTATTTGTTTTGAAAAAAAAATGAATAAAGAGAGTATTTATAATAATAATTGATAATTTGTTTAAATTTTAAAATAGTTCGTAAAAGAACATAAATAAATTTTTTTTTACATATTAAAAATAAAAAAAGAACGTAAAAAAAAAAAAATGTGAAAATATGAAATATATAATATAAATAGAGTGTAAAACAAATATATATAAATATAAAATATTTTTTAAATTTATTAGTATGTAAAAGAATAATATAATAAAATATATTTGATTTATTTTATATGCTTAAGACAAAAGTATTTAAATTTTTTAAACATAAATTTGTATTAAAATATTTAGGGAGTAATTAATAAATTAATTAGATAAGTAAATATATTATTATTTAAAGAGAGTAAAAAATATAGTTATCAAATGAAAAATTATTAAAAAACATATTAATAGCAAGTAAAAAAAAGTTATTAAAAAATTAAAATTAAAATTAAAAAAAGTATAAATAATGTATCTAATTTGTAATAATAAATTTATTAGAAGTATATTAATAAACACATTTTTATAGAGTGTAAATTAATAAATAAATTTAGTAATTTCTTAGTTTAAATATTTAAAAAGAACGTAAAATTTTTAAAAATATATAAATTTATTCTTTAAAATATATAGGGAGTTAAAAAAATATATATTATTAAATCAAATTTATTAAAAATATTTATAAGATGGAAGTAAGTATCTATTTTAAAATTTAAATAAATTTTAATTAAAAAGGAAGTGACAGTCTATGAAATAAAAGATTCAATAAATTAATAAAATGAAAGGCAAAAAAAAGAAATAGAGGTAAAAATATAATAAAAAAATTAATATTATTCAAAAATCATAGGAAGTAAAAAAATAAATACATATAATTATTAAATTAATAATATCAAGTTAATTCAAGTAAAAAAATAATTGCATAATAGAAATAAAAAAAAATAAAAAAGAGAGTATAAAAAATATTATAAAAATATATGTAATAATTACTACATTAAAAGTGGAAAGTAAATAAAATATTTAAAAAAAATTAAAAAAAAATAGTAAGCAGAATAAATATAATAATACTACGAAGAAGAAAATAGAAAAATACCATTAAAAGCAGATAGAATGTTACAAAAAGAATAATTATATTGAAGAAAATATAATTAAAATAATAAATAAATAAATAAATAAATAAATAAATAAATAAATAAATAATATTAATAAATAAAAATGAATAATAAATTATAATATAATAATTTTATATATTAAAAAACATTATTATTAAAATATAAAAATTTATAAAATAAATTTAAATGATCAAGTCAAAGCTAAATCTTTTACTTATTGACTAAGAAAAAAAATATTATGATTTACTAGAAATACATATTTCTTCTTATTAAAATAAATTTCCTATATAAATTGACTTAAGTGAATAATTAGAAAATTATTTGAATTCAGGCATAATGAAATAATTTGAATGCGATTAATTTAACGATAAATTTAAGTAAATTATAACATCCGATGATCTTTAAAAGACTTTAAAATTTTGTTTTTGGAGTTTTTTAACAAATTGTTTTCCTGAAACTGTCGAATGTGCATTTTAATATGATTTAAAGATGTATTATAAATATAAAATCCAAAAGAAATATGTAAGACTAATCCAAATATTAAAAAAAGATGTTGAGAAATATATAAACCATATAATATTTAGCATTGGATATATTATACATTACTGTATGTATAAATATTTTCCACCTCAGAGAGGATTTTTTGATTATAGATTCATTTTAAATACATATCATTTTATTATTTGGGAGTTTTTGGGAATTTTTGTTAGCGATTATTATGTTGAAAATTAAATGGAGAGAATTTTTTCTAGCCGATTTTTAGAATATGAGACAAGAAATATAAAAGAGATTTTATTAAAATAGTTAGAAATGAAGAAAAAAATAATAGAAAATTTCTTGAATTTCCATTAGTTTTCCCTGAAATTAAAAATGGAGATTTTAAGGAAAAACTACTCTAAAAATTCAAGAAAAATGCTTATTTATTACCCAAAAATGAACTTAATGAGTAAAATCTTTCAAACGAAAAAAAAAAATTCACACGTTTTGTAGATGAAACGGGTTATTTTTCTTTAAATAAATAAGTAAAGGAAGGTTAATAATAATAATAATTGTAGAATTTAAAAATTAATTGCAATTAAGTAAGCCCTCCTATTGGAGATCTTTTAGAATATAACGAGAAAAATCTACCTTTTGAAAAAAAGAAGATTATAAAACACTTTTTTAAATAAATTAATGAAGAGGAGAAAATTTTAAGCAAAGAAATGGAAAAAATAATATATTCGAAAGAAGAAAAGTTGGAAAAGAGGAAAAAAGAACGCTAATTTTACATAGAAAGGTAAGTCTTTAATCGATAGTTATAATCTAAGGCAACCTGGGAAGGAATATTATGAGAAATATAAGAAATATGAAAATCTATTTAAGGAAATATTGGATATAAATTATATTTTAAAGGAAAAAAAATTTGAAAAATTAAAAAGTTTACCTTCATCGAAGATGTTTGAGAGTAAAGGAAAATAAACGGAAAAACTGTAGAATGAATAAGAGTAGAAAAACTTATTGGAAAAAGTTGAAGATTTGAAAAAAAAAATGGCAGATATTCAAAATTTTAAACTCAAAAAGGGCATTTAATCGATTTCTGATTTCCCTTTTTCTGGAAATAGGTCTGACTAGAGAAAATTAATGGAAGAAGTTAGAAAAGTTTGCAGGTTTTAAATTTAAAATGGTGTTTTTTCAGGTTTTAATAGTTTTTAATAAAATAAAGCAGAAGAAGATGATACTTTAAGCTTTTATTTTCCTAAAATATTAAATAATAATAATAAAAGTATATTTGCTTATGATAAATAGATAAATGAAGGATAAGAAGAGTTTCATAGAAAGATTAATTACAAATTAATTTAATAAGAAGAAGTTTTAGGAAAAAATGAGAATTAAGGAAATTTGCCTTAGTATATATTAAATAGAGCTTTAGATGGAGGTATTCTATATAAAGATTAAAGATAAACTTATAAAGATAAATATTCGAAAGTATTTGAAAATATTAGTACTGATTCAAATATTAATGGACTTTGTTAAAGTATTTTATTTAAAA